CACTGTCATGTGGTTCTTACAGAGTTTGCTGCTGTTGTTGCTGTTGATTTGTTTTCTTTCTTTTGATTTTTGGGTTGATCCATGTGTGTTTTCAATCTTTTTCTTTCACTCATGTGAAAGGGCATTGTCATTACTTTTTTTTCTTTCTTCTGCATTATATATACTTTCTTAAGTGTTTCTCATAGAGCTGGTCTGAGAGAGTGTAAGTTCTTAGGGATTGAATGTCTGGAAAATATGTTATTTCTTCATCACTGATGAAACTTAGCTTACCTGGATAGGTAATTCTTGGTTGAAATTGTTTATCTTTGAGAACTATGAAGATTGGGCTCCAAGTTCTCCTGAAGAGTTTCTGTAGATAAATCTGCTGCTATTCTAATTAGTCTTCCCTGGTAGGTAACCTGACCTTTTTCTCTTACTGCCTTTAGGATTTTTTCTTTTTTGCACTTAACCACTAAAACTTTATTGAATTTTTATTATAACATCAATACAATACTAGTAAATAGAGAGAAATACAGAGTAAAGAGAATACAGCAATATAGTTTGAAGGAGAGGTGGGGTGGGGAAAGGAGGCAGAGGTAAGGAGGAGGTGAGAGCAAGCGTTTATCCATCATGTTCCTATAGCTTCCATGAATATTCACCATTAACAATTTCACTCCAGATCAATTTCTCAGAGGGCTCCTGTCTATTTAGGGCTTCTATTAAATCAATCTCATCACCTTGAAGCTTTCTCTGCCAGGGTTTTATCCATGTGCAATTCACTCTAAATAGGCTGACCTCCCCGCAGCTCCCTCCGAGTTTATTTGGAATCTTTAAGGGTAGCAATTACAGGGTATAGGGTCACAAGTAAGTACACATGTCCACAAAGAGAGATAATATGAATATAATGTTCTAAATAACCCCACCCACTTAAGATTACCTAATAGGCCCTCCCACCCTAAGATACTTATTATATAGATCCCCTACTACTTAAACTGATTACAGAAAGAAATAAAAACAATGCAAGTGTCCACAGACCCAGTCAATAGCATTCTACAATCTGAAACAACAAAGAGCGCCCAGTCCCCTTGCCAGGTCTCCTTCAGATGACTCCCACCGGCACCTCCTTTCAGCAGGCTGCTCTCTGCTGCCAGCCATGGAACCGCATCTGCTGTCAGATGTCTGTGGTGGGTGACAACGTGTCAATTCAGAAGACCAAGAGGTACCTGCAAGTAGAGACCTCTCCAGACTGCCCTCGTGGGTGTGCCACCCTCACTGTTCACCTGCAAGTTCACCACACAGCTTCACAGCATTCGACGAAACCAACTCTCTTTTTTCTAGTATTGGTGGCAAATACCTCATTGTTCAAACCAAATTGACCCTTCGTAAATGTATGTAAACTTACTTCCTGTTTCAGTATCCTAGCATGATGATTAGCCAGTTCTCTCCAAGTTTGCCTAACAATGGGAGCGCTGAGAACTTCTTCCTTGATTTAATTAATTAACAATGTGAATTTGGGCCAAAAGTCAATTAATTAATTTTGCCAGTTTGTTTAAAAGACTCAACTACTGGCTTTGTTACTAGTTCTAATGTTTTGAGTTATCTTTCTGCTTTATGTTTTTATTTTGCTCCCTTTCTAACTTCCTTGGATATTAAATTCCTTTGCTTTTTCCTTCCTTATGAATAAAGGCATTTTTATTGGAAAATGCCAAAAAAAAAAGGCTGAAATTAACACAAATTTGATGAACAGCAACAAATCAATGGAGTGAAAGGAAACTTAGCCAAATGTCAATTCTATAGATAATAAATTTAAAATTACTTATCCTTAACAACTACGTTTATAGATAGCATAAATAGCAATGGAGCATGGTGCACACTGCCCAAAAGTTCACCGCAAGCTCCATCACAGCCCTGGACGAGTCAGGGCCCTTGTGAGTGGGGTGACCCATATCAGTCTCCCCCCAACCTTCCTTGCCATTGGCCAGCTTCTCAGATGCCTGCTTGCGGTAGTGGCAAATGTCCGTGTGCACGTGCCGGGGCCGCAGACTACTGCCCATTTCTAGGCTTCTGCAGCTTGAAGATCAACTGACAACTGTGAGTCTGACACAGAACTGGAATTCCAACATATAGAGGATGAGTTGGTATTTGAGGTAAACGGAAGTGACATTTCAAATGAGTCCAGAGCACACACGCACCATTGTAAAAGTCACGGCTCTGGAGCACACAAGGGATTGACACGCTTTCTGAGTCCATAAATAGTCAGCCAGGGTTCTTCTTTGAAACTGTGTATCCTTGCGTGTGATTTTTAAAGGTCCAATTAATAGAAGCAAACTTACACATGAGGTTAAAATTGAGGATGGAGGATGAACAGGATAAACTGATACACACATACACTCTCATATACACACAGTTCTGAGGAGTCTCTCACTCAGTGCTATGAGAGTTCCCAGTGAAGACACGTCATACATCATGGACCATTTTCACTTTAGTTTAACAATAAGAATTGGATAGTACTTTGTAGTTCAATGGAAAGTTTTGAAGGCATTATCACTTCAAAACACTGTTCAAGGACACCACTACAGCTAAAGGTTTAAGTATTTAAACATGCAAGAGTAGGGTGGGTGATAGTAGTTCATGTGAGAGATGATGCTGATGAGAAGTGAAACTTCACCAGTGGCCTCCTCTGCATGACAATGGGAAATATACACAGTGTTGCTTCTCCTGCTCAAACTAGGTTTTGGCAATTAAAGTGCCCTGTGGTCTCCATGCGTGGCCGCAAGATGGAGTCTCTGTAACCAGGCACAAATCCTGCAGCAGTGTCCATGGCAGTGGTAAAGAATTAAACAGAAAGAGAGGGGTTAGATAAACAGTTCAAGGAAGTAGCAAGGGACCAGGCTAGAGAAGTCAGGCAGCCCCAGGATAGCACAACGTGTCCAGGAGACACCAGACGTGTCCTGGCTTAAAGAAAATCTCTGCGCTGTCTGTTGCTTAGAGTCCTTTGAGAGTTGCTTTCTGAGGCCTTTCACCCACAGGCAACTTCATGTCAGAGCCATCATCTCGGGGATCCTCTCCATCACGTGGACTCTGACCCTTCTGAAGTGGGTGCCATCAGGAAGTCTGTATCCTCAGGACCTAATTCCTCTCCTGCAAAGACGCCTCTCCCAAACACTGGAGTGTGAATCTAGGTGCTAAATCATTTCCCCCCTTTCTAAGCATGCTAATGTCATGTGTGATGAGGGGACTGGAGATGGAATGCCCAGGTGCGTATGGGGGCAGACACGTGGACAGATGTGCCAACACTTCCCATTGGTGCTCTCCCAGCCAAGTATCAACACTTGTGGAAATCCTTTCTGAAGTACCAGGACAGGCTGGCACCAATGAATTCAGAATCTCTTACAAGCTGGGTACGGAACTTTGGATTTGCTACTCTTTAGCCCTCGTGCATGATTGAGAGGTGGTCACAGTTCACAAACACTGAACACCCCTGGAGTCACCAGCAGTCTCTGGTGACCAGGTTTAGAGCTCTGTGGAAACCACTGCTGGCATGGTGATGGTAAGGTGTTGTGTCAAAGCCAGAGTCCTTGGGTACATGTGATCTGCACCAGGATGTGAAGGCACACTCTTAACAAGCAAGAGTCCTTCTGAGAGAGCACTTTCTTTTCAGGCCTGAGGTGTTTCGTGTTGTAGGGGTCTTACCTGCTCCTGGGAGAACCGGCCGAATTGCTGCTCCTTGAGAATTAATGGAACCATGAAAATGGAGTTTGAAGATGGTGGAGTTTCTGTGGGTGCAGCAAGTGGGTCGCGGAAGCCTGTCCACACTGCACCAATAGTTTTGGCTTCCTCAATAAGGCGTCGGTCCTCCAGGAATGGCAGGAGAGAACCGAAACTGTGAGAAGAGTTATGTCACTCCTCTCGTCTCCCCCTCCATAAATAAATCAGCATTCCTGTGTTTGCATCAGCTTCTCTGGAATTGTTAACCGAGAGATTTGGCAGCCTATCAGTTGGATGGTGACAGGTAAAACCTAGGCTTCCAGGATTTGCTGGAAGGTAAACTTGTTAGCTGTGGTAGATTGGCAGTCAAGTGGAAGATGGAGAGATAACCTGTTGGCAAATACTCTGTTGCTCTCGGAGGCGTGTGTGCCAGTCCAAGGTGGCCCTGATCTTCAGTAGCATTTCAGAGAGGATGTGCCTCAGCTGGCCTGAAGACAGTCACCTGATTGCACACACAATCACTGATTGAGAAGCTGAGCAGGAATAGTTTGGAGGGTAGAGACCCTAAAGGACATGACGAGGGTCTGTCTACATGGTACTGTAAGACGGAGGTGGTGGTGGAGGTGGGGGTGGGGGTGGGGGCTGCGGTGGTGGGTACTGTGGCACCGGAGGCTGGCGGTACCAGTGCGGATTCCAGGTGATCATGACAGGGACGTACAGCGACCTTCCTTGCGCGTCTCGTCCCACTGGGTACCAGGCGAAGCCCACCGGGTAGGTGGGGTACGTGGTGTAAGTGGGGTACGTCTGGTATCCGGGGACTTGAGGTACGAATTCGGTATAGGTCGCCAGGTGAGCTTGGTCGTCCAGGTTTGGGATGGACAGCCGGGGATACTGGTTCTGGATGGTGAAGCTGTTGGGAGCCCGGCAGTCGTAGGAGACCTGCAGCTTCCACCCCCTCTTCACTTGGAGAACCTGAGCGCCGTTGGGCGCGATGGTAGGTGTGATCAGCCCGTCCTTCACGTTCCTGGCCACAAAGTCACGCAGCGCAGCCATCTCGGGCTCGGACAGCGAGTACACGTGCCCGCTGGGGATGCTGTGAGCCCCGGGAATCATCTCTAGGTGCGGGTCGGCCAGGCGGTGGTCGGGATAAACGTGTTCGTCCACCGGCGTGTACACATTCTGCACGTAGTAGTACCGCACTGGTTGGTACACACGGTACCCGTCCACAGGGTAGTAGAGTGCAGGCGGTGGTCCCGGCGGGGGCAGCGCCCGCGGGATGGGCGTGTAGGGACGGCAGTGGTAGCGGCAGTACTCGGAGTCGAAGACGATGGAGCGGGTGCTCCACGTGATGTTGGGGTCGTGCGTGCTCAGCCAGCGGACGCCCAGCACCACGGGGAAGAAGGGTGACTGGGTCACATCGAAGGACAGCACCTCGCGGTGGTCACCCAGGTCGACGACGAGCGCGTGTGTCTCGTGGACCACCGGGCCCGATGCGATGGGGCGGCCATCGATGGCCTCCACGAGTATCGGCCAGTCCTTGACCCGCAGCGGGATCCCATTCTGTGCCACATACTCATGGTCGATGAAGTTGCCAGACGCACCAGAGTCGATCATGGCACGCACGAACAGCGTGTGTCGGCCCGGGAGGTGGATGTGCAACGTCACCTGGAGATGCGGAGATGAGGCGTCATCTGGAGGGGACCTTGTTGCTTCTGGCCCGGTCGCTGGAGGTCCCTCTACAGCGGGGCCGAGCAGTTTCCCGCCGGCGAGGCCTTGGAGGCTTTGGCGGGACAGTTGTCGGCGTAGTGGCCACCGTTGCCGCAGTACAGACACAGGTTCAGCTTGCGGCGACGCTCCTTCTCC